AGCGGGCAGGGCGAAACCCCCGCCGAGAAGCGGGGATCCGGCCTCGCTGCCTCCGCGGGGAGGGCGGCCGGAGGAAGGGGTGGTGGCGGGGGGTTCCTGCGGATTTCACGAGCTGGAGGAAAGCCTTTGTAGGCTGCTCCGCCGGGCGCCACGCACACGGGGCTGCCCAGGGAGCGGCCATCACCTGGCTGCCTGCAGCAGGCAGCGCGGCATGGGGCAGGGGGACCCAGCGCCCAGCCCTCCCCGAGCCCGCACCCGCTCGGATCTCGCCCTCATTCCCTAGGCTAATCCCGGCTCTACGTCCCCAGCAGAGGAAAACCCCCCGAGCCCAGGGCTAAGGCGCCTCCTTCTCCCCCAGCCGGCTTTTTTAAAGCACGCTCTCCACCGCATGGAGGTATTCTCCTCTCGATTAGCCATTACGGTTTTAAAGTTCATTAAGCAGAATATAAAAGGTTTCAAGGTTCAGGAGCTCTTTACATTAAACGTAGCCGCTATCCCTTTAAAAACTTCCTTTTCTGGTACAGTTCATTGTCGAGGTATTTTTTCCCCGAGCCGTATACTAGCTTTGCCTCTTAAAAAGCCCACATAAAAAAATCAGGCTTTGACAGATTGAATAACAATTGTAAGCAACAAACTGTTGGACAGAAGGCAACACGTAATTGCCACAGTGCCTTAGTAAAATGGCTTCCTTTAGACAAAAAGGCCAGCTTTAGGTTAATTTGTTTCTTTTAATATATTGCTACAGTTCAGGCGGCTACTTTATCTGCTAAACGCTATTCTAGTGCAATCGTTAAAACGGCGAGGGCTTTGAATTCAGCTCCTAACTAGACTTCTGGTGCAACACATGGCTTTTATAAAATCACTGGATTACATCGATATCAAAGGAGCCGGGATCTCCTTTTTTTGCCGAATTTACAGGCACCGAACGTACGTTATTATATTTTCGAGTGTTGACCACAGAGCTTTTTTTTATTATTATTTAAAAAAAAAGAAAAAAAAAAGGAAGGAGAGAGAAAAAAATTTTTTAAGGCATCCATTGCCCGGTGGGTATTTGAC